CTCTAGAAGTCTAGATGCCGTATTAAGCGTGCCAGTAGGGCTCGCTTTTTGAAATCACTCGGATGTAGGTACCATAGTACAGCACACCGATCAACCAATGCTATTCAACGGGCCGTCCAAATATTTTTTTCCTCGGACCCGTTTTCTTGTCTTTGAACCATTATACTGTCAAGCCCTGATGGTCTCTTACCAAAAAACCGAATGAACTGCTAATTGGGAACCCTTGAGAACATTTTCCTGTCAAAACCGTATTATTTCATTTGACAAAAACCTCATAGAAGCTTTCTTACGCTCGGAGGACTCAACTCTAGAACCTTCTTTCCCGCCAAAACTGTTTAGCCAATGAGCGTCTTGCACTGCAAGTGCAATCTGTGATGAGCCTCGTGACTCTTTATACCATGTAATAACCGTGGCCCCTGCAGAAATCCACTCAAACCACTGCAGTTATCTCCCGATATAGCTTTGGGTGTCAGGTTTCGAGCAAGGCAATAAAAGACGGCGCGGAGAGGGTCGCCTCGTCGAACCTATTATCTTCCACGCCCGATTAACCATTCACCGTGACGCCAGGATCCACCAAATTTTCACAAAAATTTTTTCCGTCTATTTAGAGATGTTTTTCCTTACTTTCCGTTAAAGTACAAATAAAAAGAGACCTCATTTGTAAAAATCGGCCGAATAGGAGAGAAGTTACAGTTCGAAATCCAAAGAGATTAACTCAACGCGATTTCGATGCACGGCAGTTCGCCCAAATCACGGTCGTGCGAAATGCCGCATATCAGCTTAAAATCGAGATAATTGGACGGAATCTTTAAAATCAATTTACATTCAACGTTCATGAATCAATATTTTCTCCCTTTAGCAAAAAGTACCAATTGATGCAAATAACAGAGACGTGAAAATAGTAGGTATGTGTCCAACATTTTAGTTATTCGGCACGCTTTTCCAACATATTCATGTTGGATTTTTCTGCTTGTTTTCTTTTAAAATTGGTTTGCTAAAGATTAAAATACATCGGTATCAAGAGAAACAACTTATTTTTCGGTCTGCTATTAGGGAGTGGTTAATTTATTCCAACCCAGTCCGGTGACCCACTGAATTCTGGTGTTTCAATCGAACTCCGCCGAAGAAACACACTCCCCCGCCCTCTCCGTTTTGAATGAGCTTTCAGCTCGGAAATTAAAACATCCCGCTCGGCAACGGAACGGCGCGGGGCGGGGGCGAGGGGGCGGCGCATTGTAAATGACGACTTGTCATAAATTACCCTCGACTGTCGGAAAGAACACTCGAGCCGCAGTCATCAAAAAGCTCCGCGGCGGCGGCGGCGGCGGCTTCACTCCCAGGCTTCAAAGTTCCGCGAGGGTTGTTTACTTTTTTAAGTTCTTAAGTGCATAAGCACCGAGTCCAAGTGGATCGATCTGAATACTCAAGACGCTATCGCGGCTTCTTCTTCGTGCCGAGTACGAATGTTCTTCCGCGTTTCCTCCGAAGACGCCGAGTGTTTCAACCCCCCGAGGGGGAGGGGGACGGGGCGGTAATTAGCGAGAAGAATGAAAGGCGGTCGGAATCGGAAGCCGGAACTCGGCCGTGCCGAGGAAGATCGCCGCGTGAACAGTGGCGTGGCGTGCTTTGCGATGTATCGATTGATCTGCCATTTGAACCTATGGAAAAGGATCGATAAACAGGGTGTTCGCAGCGAACACCTTAATAATCGATTCTTCACCGTAGCTTCAAATGGGGAAATATCGATTATCGATCTGTCACGCCTCGCCACTGCGCGTGAAGGTTGCCAAACGTGCTCGCCGCGAACTTTCGCTGCCGGCTGATAATCGAAATTGATAGACGAAGCGAATCGACAGCGATAGACATAAAGTCCCTTTATACTGAGAGCAAAGACAATACGGATCAATTTCTAATTGGTTCCCGTATTTTAGGCCCACACAGTTTCACAATGCGGTCTGTTTGAAACGCATATTAGCGCCTACAAACTCGTAGGAATACTTCACGCATTACTCTAAATTAGAGTCCCTTAATACCGAGAGTATAGACAATGTAAATCCATTTCTGGTTGGTTCCCGTATTTTGGGCCTTCACAGTGTCACAAGCGGGAGGAAAGATTACATTCTCACCAATTGCAAAGATTTTAAATTGGAATGGACCGGGAAACTGGGGGTGTGGCAAGGAACAAATGGAATGGGACCCGAGCCGTCGTTTGTAGAGCACGTATTTTACTTAAGCTCTACCATTTGATGGCGCGATTATTCTAACACGAGTTCAAATAATCTCGCCAAACACAGTGCGGTCTGTTAGAAACGCATATTAGCGCCTACAAACTCGTAGGAATACTTCACGCATTACTCTAAATTAGAGTCCCTTTATACTTAGAGTAAAGACAATGCGGATCAATCTCTGATTGGTTCCCGTAGTTTAGACCTTCACAGTGTCACAAACGGGAATAAAGATTACATTTTCAACGATTGCTAAGATTATAAACTGGAATGGACCGGGGAATTAGGGGTACGGCAAGGAACAAATGGAATGAGAGAGGGGACGGAGATAGGGATTCGGGAATGGGTTGATCAAACATTAAAAATAAAACGTCCGATTTGTGTAATGTTTATTCCGTTTTTGACATCCATAAGTCGCGTTGTCTCAACTCTCTGTATAAAGGGACTCTAGATAGACAAAGGAGACAAAATGGACCGCGTTAAACAGAGAGGAAGCAAGCCACATCAGATATGACTAGAACTTGACTAGAGAACAAGTTACGCAGAACATGTTTTGAAATTAATTCTGATGAAAATATCAAGAACTTTAAGGTCATTTCTCAACAAAATTTAAATACGCGCCGTGCCGTAGCACGTCGCGTATTTAAATTTATAACGCCTGGATGCAACTATTCGTGATCTAGAGTTGTCCATGTTGCATACCCGCCAATTTTAAGGCGCATTGCTTCGCAGTGACTTGCACGCTCCGCGTTGAGTCCTTTGCGAGGCAAAACACGCAAATGCACGCTTTCGGTGTTTCGGTATACTCTTTTCTCATCTTTATCATAACAGCACGCAAGATGCGTTTTTCCAGTTATACTTAAATCTCTATTAATTTTAATCTTCTCTCAGTTGATACTAAACTTTTAATGTCACAGAATTAAATGTTTCGTTGCGAGAGGGATTGATTTTTGTCGGGAAGGAGGCAAGTAAAAATGAAAAGAAAAAGAGGGCGAAAAAATACGAGAAAAAAACTGGTAAAGAAAGATTTGGAGCTCGAGCGGTAGTTCACTTTTTCAGCTCACGAAACAGATTTAGGTGGAGCATGGATTTAAAGTTCATTATTATTTAAATCAAATCCTAAAAATAAAAAGAGAGGCATTTAGAGCCCCTCTTCCACTGTTTTAACTAGACTTAACTTGGCTCTTTTCCGTTAAACTTAGTTCCGAAACAATATATTAACAGCAATATATATTAGTTTTGAACGCATAATAAAGTAATAATAATTCAAACCATTTCAATTAGCATTTGCGATACTATATAAGTCGCAGTCGTAGGCGATTAGTCAAATCAGGGATTTCATCAAATGCCCAGGCAGGTACTCAAAGTTTCAGAGTTCCCGAGGTTTTTTTATGTTTTCGCAAAGACCTCTCTAATTTTCAATATTTTGAAACTGAAAATCCGTTAAAATACAAACTGTCATTATATTTCCCGTTCAAATATGCTCCTCATAATTCTTCAACCGTCCAAGTTGTGAAAACTTTTTATTTTTTAATAAGATGATGCATGAGCACTGTGATGTTTCTATTTATTGAAATAGCCTTCATACACGTACACGCTGGGCTTGTCGATTTCCTTTGACATTTTTGCAGTGGCGAATGCATAGCTTAAGTGCGCTTCAGCTAGAATTGTATTTCGCAAATGGGTAATTTTTATAGGAGGATTATGAATAAACAAGTGGCACGGAATAAAAAAAAAGAATAGGAACTATGCAAAACGATAATCCGGGTATCGGAACTTGGCTGTTTTGAAAACGCCTTCAAATGCGGCGTGATACCCCACGCATTCCGGAGAGTTCAAATAGTTGTATCATTGCGCCGTAAGAATGTGACGGAAGATTACAATTACGAGGTTATTATGCTCCACTTTTACCAGGGATAATATTTTTTTTAGATATATTTTACTTAAGTTTGTATCTTTGCAATTTTACAAACTCGCAAGGGTAAAAATAAAGGGTCATTTCTACTTTTCTACTTCTTCTCTGTATGTATTTTTGCCTGAGCAGGCAACTGAACAGCAACGAGCACTTCTCCTGGAAATCCGAGTCTCGTCAATGAGCCGACAAAACTCTCCTGCAACCGACTCCGCGAATAATGGCCTAGGGTTTTAACTTTTGACCTTTCCGTCCCCGCCCGGCTCGCCCCACGGGGATGGGATCCATCCCTGTCTATCGCAGTCTTCGTAGACTTTCGATAACCCGATCAAAACCCCCCTGTCACAACCCTCCCGGAATAGTTCTGTATACGCTGTTGATTTAAATCCAAAGATTTTAGACCTGCTCTAACCGCGAATCTATATCAAGGTACCCGAAATGATTGTGCTACAGGGTGTATCAAAAGTAAACGAGCCCTTGAATGAAAAGTTTCTATACAGTAAAGCACCGATTACCAGAGAAAAGCAGTAAGTGAAATTATTCCTTCTGTGAGCCAATGAATAAGCGGACACCAATCAATTTTAATAAAACGATCAAAATTTTTATAAAACAGTAAAAGCTGTTGTATTAAAACTTTTGAAAAATTTAAAACACTTACGCTTTCACTTGGCGAAAAACCGATCGCCGATTCACCGATACGCGTCCGATAAATAGCCTCCAAGTGAAAGCGTGAGTTTTTTAAATTTCTCAAAATTTGTAATACTAATCAAACCATTCTCTTAAAAGAGGTGTGTCCGAGATTCTTACCATAGCAGTAAAAAATCACTTTGAGTTTCAAATTGCAAGCAGCAAATGTCAATGGGCCAGTGGCACACCTTCACAAAAAACGTTGAAACTTCGTCCCCGCACGTAATTTTTCGCGAAAACGCCAAAAAAAGCATTAAAAAGTTCCAAAAAGCTTTCCTTTAGGTCAAAAAAGCTGAAAGTTGTGACAGCCAATCACAGTGTGACATTCCATGATGACGTAGAGAGGCGATGTTTACATTTGATGTCCATATAACTCAATGTTAAATTAGCGACTTTCATAGATGAAAAATGAATATTATTTGCCTTCTACTTGAATATATATGATTGCCATTCGAAAACTGAATCAAAAAATTCGCTGGAAAAAACCTCGTCGGCTCAAAAACTGAATAAAATCTCTATTTCCTCGAGTTGATACAACGCATTCCGAAAGCTAACTTCCAAACCGGACATGCGAAGTGCGAACGCGAACTGTGAGGGTTTTGGTTTTGTGTGAAATTTTTAGTGAAGTTTTTAAATTTCTATAAAAATGCCAATGCCTCAAACAGCAGCAGGCTTCGTCCAAGCCTGCCCTGGAAATCTGCCGGGGCTGGACACTGCCATGCTGATAGAATTTTTTCAGAATCCAATGTTCCAAGAGCCTGAGCTCAGGCATGTGAAAACTATGAGGTAGGTCCGTACTTAAATCTTTTCTCCCCTATTTTATTTGGCTGCTTACGCTTTTGTGGAATCATCTACTTTCTTCAGAATTTTATTGTCATAAGCGGGATTGTAAAACATCCATACTCTATGATTTCAAACTATCAGGCATTATGACTTGGTCGGATCTATTTTGTCAGATCCAAATAAGTCCCTTGAATATTTTTTGCCACAACCCGGACTTTTGAAACAGACACCCAAGTCTGATGAGCTAACTACTGGGCCACTTCAATGAGCCAAATCAAAAATCAAAGTTTGATTGTCTTGGCAATGTCATGGTCATTTTATTCAGAATGGTTTCCAATGAAAGCATTGCAGTGTTCTTCGACGGGTTTTGATCATCTCCGAATCAGTCTTTGATGATTAGTCAGACACAGTTTATAAAAGGAGCCACAACTACTGCTACCTAATGTGAAGGAGAAACTCTCATATCATGTTTCTCGATTCTTCAGTTTCAAAATCTTTGCTCTCATTTTATTCCTCTCAAAGGAAAGTAAGAATGTTGCTCGAAATTCAATGTATCTCTGCCAAACAGAACTATGTGCATAAATTCATGAGCCCTGAGAGCCGTAGGAATATATGCAATACACGGCTCATCTCATAATGCAAATAGTTCCGATTGACAGAAGTACGTTAAATTAAGGAACTACTCCTGAAAAACATAAAAAATAAATAATATTGACCAAAAATGTAACGATTCTGAATGAGGGGTGGTGCATGACAACCTGATGAAGAGAGGTTGTATACATGAGATCCTCGGAATGTAGTAATAATGTGCTGGTGAAAAATCAGTATCCTATAAACTTACTAATTTCGTAATAATTTTCATTTTTGTTCTTCATATGGCTGCCTTTACAAATACAATTTATGGCTTTCAGATCAACTCGTGTCTCTTATGGCGATAACGCTGTGGGTTATGTGCAAGTGAAACGCGAGGGTGGGACATGCCATGTAATGGCAAAAATAACACCCGAACATCGCATCAACAGCCCACCATATCAGGTTCATGTAGTTATTGACGAGAAAGAAGAAAAAGTGAAGGAAGCGTATTGTGCTGGAAGTGCTGGTAAATATTAAAAGTTCATTCAAACTCATATGTCCTTAACATTTCGTTCTCTTCATTATTTGCTACAATTTCCAATTTTTCGATTGCAATAAGATTGTCTTGTAATGCTGAAGACTATTTGCCATGAATGTTTAGCGGTGAAGATGAAACCATCCTGGAATAGTTTAGAAATGGATGGGAAAGAAAAATTAAAAGCAGTTCGCTTCGCTAGTCTGAATAAGCATGGAAGCATAATTTATAAATTTGTGAAGAAGGTTGGAATGTAAGTTTTGGCTTAACTCAAAAATTCAACAACTTTCAAATTGTAAAGGTGAGAGACAAATTTCAAATATTTTTCAATATTTAAATTTTAAAGATATTCAACAAACCAAATGTAGATAATATGTCCAGTTGTTAAAATGCACATCCTTGTTATGTTACACCTCACAGCAAACAGGGTCAAAGGCCTGATTTCCACCTCTTTGTCCTGAATTAACCTTTCTGTACCAATACTTAGCCTTTGTTTCTTTGTTTCACAGATTGTTGCAAACACGCTGTGGCATTTGTCGCTTGGCTGCACCGCGAGGCCGAAAAGAAATCGGTCACGGATGTCCAAAGCTATTGGCACAAATCAAAACTATCAAGCATTAAGACCTCAACTCCGGAAGATATGAGGTTGGAGAAAATGGTTAAGCAAAAGGTCGCTGCAGTTGTTGACAATGACGCAGCTAATACACAAGAAGAAGCCTTCTATAAAGAGCTTACCAAGGAGCTATGCAAGAATAAATCTTGCTCATCTTTGCTGAAGCAACATTTGAGTGTCAAATTTTCATACGCCATTCACCATTTGTTAATGAAATTTATAGGGTCTGGCTGCAATGTAAATGCTGACGATTTCGTACTTTTTTGTGGCAGCATTATGAAGGAAGATGAGTGCAAGAAGTTGGCGAGACTAACTGCGAATCAAGCCGATGACTCGCTATGGTTTGATTTTCGTGTCGGTAGGGTCACAGGCTCTAAAGCTCATGAAGCATCGCGATGCAAGACTGATGATGGAGTTACCGTCAATAGTGTGCTGGGAGTCCAGAAATTTAGGGAAACAGAAGCTATGAAACGAGGAAAAGACTTAGAGCCCCTGGTGCGAAAAGCATTTCAAAATCATATAAAGACTCCAATCTCATGCAGCGGTTTTGTAATGAGTGGTAAGCACCCTGTATTTGGAGCCTCACCGGATGGTCTAACGAGGACTCACATCGTTGAAATTAAGTGTCCTGTCAAAATGGAAACATTTAATAAATATTTTAAGGATGTAAATAGCAGTGAGCCAGAGCCAGCCCCTATTCGAGTCGCGCAAATGGACTGGCAAATGAAAATGTGTGGGAAAAGGAAGGGTTATTTCGTTGTTGCCTACCCAAATTTTAAAGAAACGGGTTTATTTAAAGTGGCAGAAGTCACACTAGACAGTGATCGCATTCAAAATACAATGAATGACGCATTGGATTTTTGGAAGAAATTTATTTTCCCAAAGCTTGTGGATAGCATCTTAGGTGTTCGTGTATCATAATAAACTAGATGAGCCGAAAAGATATTTTCAAACCCAACTTTATTTGTTGTTTGTAAATTTTGTACTGCAATGCATACGGATAAATTATTTCAGGTAATGCAGGAACGTGTCCGACTTTGTTCACTTTTCAAAATGACTAACGCAAAGAGCTTGATGCAAAAACGGCTTTTTTCGCCCCCCCCTCTGGAAGTTCTTCAGACTTTGTCTATTGATTACTCGTACTTGAGCGCTTCTTTTCCCAAATTTTCAGACCCCCAAAAAATTTTGGGGGGGAACTAGGGGGGGTGGAAGTCAAAACCTATGAACCTCGATATCTCTTGAACAAAGAAAGATATCGAAGTCCGGTTTGGACGAAAAATCGTCTAAAATTGCATACTTTAAGATTCTAAAGGTCAAAATCCCGATATCACATTTTTAAGTCAACATATGTGCTTTTTTCCAGTTTTTAGGTCTAGAAAATTTCTTTTAAACGAAAAATTTACAAAGATCTCAATTTTTTATTTGAACCAAAACCAGTTTTTTAAATTGTTCGTCTTTTTCCGCATCCAACGAGTGGTCCATTAAGCTGGGGAACCAAACGGTTCCGGAGTTATGATCGATTGAAGTTTCCGCTCAACGCGCGCCGACCGATTTTCGCGCGCAAAAAAGTCGGATTTGACTGTTATTAGATCAGATTGAATGTTCAAACTGAGCAAAATGCTTTATTAGGGACTCTTGAGGGTCGCTGAGTTCAGAAATTACCGATACTTCCAAAAAATTCATGTTTTTAAAATTGCAGCTCCGCAGCGCTATTTTAGAGGCCCACTGAGCGCCGACCGGCCGCTCAGTGGTCCTGTCCGAAGCTGCAATTTTAAAAACGTGAATTTTTTGGAAGTATCGGTAATTTCTGAACTCAGCGACCCTCAAGAGTCCCTAATAAAGCATTTTGCTCAGTTTGAACATTCAATCTGATCTAATAACAGTCAAATCCGACTTTTTTGCGCGCGAAAATCGGTCGGCGCGCGTTGAGCGGAAACTTCAATCGATCATAACTCCGGAACCGTTTGGTTCCCCAGCTTAATGGACCACTCGTTGGATGCGGAAAAAGACGAACAATTTAAAAAACTGGTTTTGGTTCAAATAAAAAATTGAGATCTTTGTAAATTTTTCGTTTAAAAGAAATTTTCTAGACCTAAAAACTGGAAAAAAGCACATATGTTGACTTAAAAATGTGATATCGGGATTTTGACCTTTAGAATCTTAAAGTATGCAATTTTAGACGATTTTTCGTCCAAACCGGACTTCGATATCTTTCTTTGTTCAAGAGATATCGAGGTTCATAGGTTTTGACTTCCACCCCCCCTAGTTCCCCCCCAAAATTTTTTGGGGGTCTGAAAATTTGGGAAAAGAAACGCTCAAGTACGAGTAATCAATAGACAAAGTCTGAAGAACTTCCAGAGGGGGGGCGAAAAAAGCCGTTTTTGCATCAAGCTCTTTCACTATGTCTTAACATAATATAATTATTTTCATATTCAATCTACAGTTAAAATGTTTCTTTTAAGTCATTTCATGATTATCTCAGATTAACTTGGTAACTCAAGAATCACCAGTTAAAGAGAGGCAGATTATGCAATAGAATATAATAGCTACTCAGCATAATTTGCATTGAAATTCCCTGTTAAAATTGTAAATTGTTAATTAAATCAATTTTTATTTTCCGGAAGTCCTGCCTTACTTTCACTTCTTTCTTGCAAGATGTTACCGAAGGAAGATTTCCTCTCAAATTTTACCTCACAATTTTGAATTAATATCTTTATATTTACCTAAAAAGGGTCTCTTTATGTACTTAGATGTATTCTGTCAACAACCGAAAAAGAGGGACAACGAAGTTGTCTGCTCCTGGCGACTTATTGATTCATTAAAAGGATGTTTTAAGGCACCTGCAGTTCTAAAGTTTGAAACTTGAGGTGCTTGGAGGACAAGGCGCACAAGTGCAGTTTTTGAAGAAATGGAGATTTTCATGATTTCAAGTAAAAATGGTCTTTATGAATACTGTGTGAAAAATTTGCTCCCAAATTCCAATCTTTAAGAATCAAGAAGTCGGTCGGAACTTTCTTTCCGCCTTAAGGATCTATGTGATTTTGAGACTTCAAACTCGTATTCCTCGAAAAAGCAAAAACTGCACATGTGGGCCTTGTCCTCAAAGCCCCTCAATTTTCCTAAGCAATTTTTTTTGAAGGGGGCACAGTATAAATATAACAAATTTCCTAATGAATGATGGTGCATTTCCCCTTCGCTGAGTAGAAAGTGTTTGTTAAATGATGAAAACCAAATAGCCAGGTTTCCTTCTTTCATACCTACTTAATAACAAATATTCATATAAAGGGGAAGGTGATTCAAATAGAATACAAAGTTAAATCTTATTATTTTCATTTTATTTTCATGTAAAAATTGACTATAACATAGAAATAAGTCGGAAAAGGAAAATAAAGCATCAAGTCAGAAACTACAGAAACAGAGGTCCTTGAAGGTTACTAAGTCCACAGACTATTACAACAATATTATTTGCTAAGCTGAGCAAATCATGGTGGAAATTTGCAGCATGATCTACCATTTCAAAGTTTCTCAGGCGCCCTATTACTCTTTCTATCACAATGCGGAGCGAAGCAATAACTTTTGTTTCTCGAACCTGTCTTTTAGTCATTTTCACTGTTTCCTTTAATACTTTCTCAGAATTTCCCTTCTTTACGGTCTTCTCTTCAGTATGAACAGTAGGAGGGCGTACTAATCGGGAGCCACTATCTGATATGAGACTTTCTACATTTTTGAATCCTCTATCTGCCATGACTAATGTGTTGCGAGGCAGAACTTCAAGATAACCGCTATCACGTAAAATGTTGCAGTCGGTTGCTCTTCCCCCATATGCACTAGAAATAAAATTTATAAGACCATCTGGTGTGCTAGAAATTAAAAATTTAATTGTATTGCGCTTCTTGTACTCCGACCAAGTCAACGATTGAAACAATGGATTAGAACATTTTTCTATCTCAACCTCAAAGCAGTCCAAGATGGACTGTACTGTAGAATAATGTGCCCTGAAAGCGAGCGGGACATTAGATTGAATTATCTGTGGGCTTGGCCACTTGATGCATGTTGCCATGAACCTTGCAATTTTAGGAATTGACTCATTTACTATTCTACAAACTGAGCTCCGATGAAGCCAAAAAATATGCCCCAATACTTCAGAGGATTCATTTAAGCGTATTTTTCTGAGAGCTACAAATATGTTCCTTTTATCTAAGCCAGCGTGCTTTTGTAACAATGGAACCAGGAACATGGTTTCCTTATCTAGTCCCACAAAAACTCGGGGAAATTTCTCCATCAATTGCATATTACAGGTCGCAACTGTAACGCCTAGGTGAAGATCTTTCACTTCATCTGGTAAAGTGTCAACAGAAGTATTAGTGACTTCTGATGGTACATACTCAGATGCTGAAGCATTATCTGTAGCGACGCTGAGATGTGTTTCGTTTAAGGACTTTTCAAGTTCCTCCATTGAGTAGACGTCATGCCAGAAAACCCTGCCTTGCGTTGTCTGCGACGAACTTTCTTTGGTAGCCGCAACCTTCGTTTGAGTGTGTTCACTGCGATACCTGGGGTAAGCAGTCTGTAAAAAAGAAAGATGAGCTTAGTTAAATATGAAGAAAAGATGGTTTTTTTTTTTTTAACGTCTTGGAGAGAACCCTTCCTACTACAATAAATTCTGTTCATTTTCCTCTTAATTTAACAATTAATGAAGGTACCACTTCTTCTATTATTCATTCATACTTTGTCTTTCTTCTGCATCTACAATTTCACTTTTTTTTGGTCGCAAATTTTTCTCTTTCTATTTGAGCTTAAAAATATTATTTTTTGTTCTGTCAGGCTATGCCAACCATTGTTTAGTTATTTTCTTGTTGTTTATTTCATTTGGTTCAGTAACATATGCCACACAAGCTCTTTTTGGCATATGGAGCTGTTTTATTGTGCTTCTGTAAATTTAAATTTTTGAAATAAATAAATCTTGAATCTTGAGGTATTTTTAACAAATATTTTGGTCTCACAGTAGGTACAAATTTTTCATACTCTCATTTCAATGGAACCGTTTCCAATGATGCTTTTTAGGTTTACCCAAAACTTATCCTAAACTTCATTTTTACAGTGATTTTTGGGTAGCAGTGATTGATTGCAAATGTAAATGAATGATTGTGTTACCTGAGTCTGGGTATCTCGTACTGTCTTTCGAGCTTCACAACGATATTCAGGAGTGAAATTTATGACAGTCTCTGGAAGTGCTGCTGCTGTATTGTGGGCAGGTTCTAAATTTGTATGGATCTCAACATGACATTCCACAGAAATGTCATTAACAGACAGGTCATCAACAAAGGCTGATACATCATTAATCACTTGCAATGGAACCGCAGGCTCCACATTTGTTTCCAGAGGCTCTGTTACTGGATACTGTGAAAAGATAACAAGGAGGATATTCAATTACTTAAAAAAAAATAAGTCACAGTACAACTATACGTTGCCTACCAATTAAGTAAGAAAATGTTTTCACTCGCCAGACTGATTTACATAGTTCAAGGCAGATATCATCTTGCGCTGATGGATCCATTTAGAAAATTAAATCTAATAGTTTGTTCACATATTCTTTAGGAATTTTACTTTGCAAGAATCCGGAGGAGAAATTTTTTAAAAATTATAACATTGGACAAAAGAAGGTATAAAATGAGTCAATATTTACTTTCAGAAAGGGGTACATTACCTCCAAAGCGGCCGCTCCTACATCAGACCTTCCAGCATCTGTATTTGATATGTCCTTTAGGACTTCCATTCTCTTCCTCTTCTCTACGGCAGACCTTATTGAAAGTGTGTGAGACCTTTTACGGTCCTTCTGACAGTCAAACAAATGGGGAGTCACATCTTTCCTGAGGACCCAAGGAAATGGTTTCAACCCGCTTTCCATCATCACCTTATTCTGGATCCAATTTTCAACATCCTTTTCTACCTGCAAAGGAAGAAAAAAAAAAATTAATATCCGTACGACAATAGCAGATTGCTTTCACTACATGACTTACAAGAAAGCGTGGCTCTTGCGAGTTAAGTTCTGCTGCATTTTACTTAACAAATTCTGCAGCAATGATGATAAGCAGTGCAGCTGCGTAACACTTGATAGTTGATATATTCTTGGTTTATTACATTTATTCATAGTGTCGTTGACCTTAGTATCAAATGGGTAATTCTCACTTCTACAGCATTTCCTGGGTAGAACTTTTGAAAATTGAAATCATCACTGTTGTATGCCAAAAGTTTTTGGACCCCTATTTGTATGTAAATCCAATGGATTGAGGCAATTCTTTGGAGCGCTGTTTGATGATGTCGGAGCACATTTCACAATGAGAGATATTACTAGAGGCAGAGTTCTTTGTGATGATAGAAACTGAATCTAAAATATCCTGTTCAGTGATCTGAGTTCAGACTTGTTAGTTTAATGCCCAACACGTCTGCCAAATGCTTAACGCTCAAGGGATGTTGATGAGACTGCGTTGCAATGTGGTTAATGAACTGAAAAACCCAACAATCGGATAAGTGTTTTCCAAAAAGCACCTCTCTGGACTCAATTGCTCGAGTGAGTCATAGTAATAGGGGCATAATATAAAGTACCTACCTACATCAAAATGATCTTCACAGCAGCGAAGAGAGGACTGCAAAGAAGTGCACTGACTTCGGGCCATCTGCAACCATAGCCTCCTCCTTTCCCCTTTAGGAACTGTAAAAAATATTTTTCCCGGTGTGGAATCACTTGAATTTCCACAATCACGCACAAAACACTTCACTTTACTGGTCATTTTCTGATTTTCGTGACTATTCTTGGGTATGATTTAGCAATATTATTGTTTTGCAAGTGATCAAGGTTAGGTTTACATTCGTATACGACAATTAATGATTAAACTCGAAAAGAGTTGTATCAAACATATCGAGACTCGACAGCGGAATTTTGAACGTAGAAATTCCAAAAAATACTTTCAAATGATTTCAAAAAAACTACCTAAGTTCAGAAAATTATGACACACGTAGGTAACATTACACACGGTAGATAGGGAAGTTGTTGTTTCCTCGCCTGTCTACGTCATCACCATGGCGCGAAAAAAAAATAGCGTTTCAAACGGGTCCGATTTTTAGCGATTTCAAAACGGGTTTTCTTAGTGATTTCGGGCTTTAAAAAATCTAAAAAAAATCATGGAAGCTCAGATCACTCCAAACTTTAAGAAAATGAATTAAAAAAAAGGGTGCCACTGGCCCATTTCAAACACCCCTCCTATTGAGCGCTCAGCCTGTACGGAGCGCTTTTTTAATTCGACCTACCTATAGAGTACTAGTATACCATCTGCCGTGATAGCGAAGAGAGCAGTAAGTGTCAAATTTTCGAAATCAAGTTTCCTTCAAAATTCGTCATATCTCTTTTAGATGAAATCAGTCACATAACCAAAACAGCAAAACTCATCTTATTTTCATTTAAACGAGAAATTTGTAGAAGCCGTAAGTGCACAAAAATGACTTAGTTTCAGACAAAACAGCAGGAAGTGACATGGTTCCTTCAGAGAGCCAGGAAAACAGTGTTTCCCAGTACAATACCGCCCTCTTCTGCCAATTTTTAACCTGAAAATGTGCTCGTTGTGCGTCCAAAATGCAACCACGAAAGCATGCAAAAGCTGGCACGTACGGCTGTCTTGTCTAACAGTAGCCTAACACGACTATAAATAAATACCCTTTTTATGTAATTGAAATAAAATAGGTGGATATTTAATCATCCAAAAGATTTCGAAGAGTCTTTCGGATGATTAGTAGCAATTTGACAAAGAACGGAGGCTCCTTTCAATAAAGTTCTTCACAAAGCCGTCAAGGTACATACGGCATGCAGTGCGCCTTCAATTACGTCTGATACTGTGCAATACTTCCGTGGTGGTATAGTTGCTCAGAGCGCCTTAGACAATGTCACTTCGACTTGATGACAGGATATCACGATTACCGGTGAGACGAACCCCTAGCGCGTGCACATTCTCTCAACACGAATGGTGAGGTAAAAGGTCTTTTAACCTCAATTTGCGACGTTGCAAATTTCCCACTGCATGTTATGCGGGTACACCAATGTGGAGAGTTTAAAATCGGCCTGAAGTATCAAGTTTTGTTTCTTATCATTCTGCAGTTCTATGGAAGAACGCCGTATGAGCCTGCAGACGTTGCCACATATCCTCGAATAAAAACCGAATTTACTGGGAAAATTGCGAGAATTTGTCTCCAAATTTTAGACGATTTTGTTCTCAATATAATGTGAAATACTCACGGAGAAAATTATGCATACTTATCCTCAAAAATATTTATTCAGAGAGATTTGGCAACGTCTATAGGCTCATACGGCATTTTTCACTCGAGGAAGGAAGAGCGTCGTATGAACATACAAGAGTTGCCAAATTTCCTTCGATAAAATATTTATTTTTGAGGAAAGTTATGTATATTTTTCCTTGAAATTTTCAGGGCGTGTAGGTGAAATTGCGAAAAAAATTATCTGAAAAACCGGAAGAAAAATATTCATGAGTTCACTAGGAAATCCGTGTTTTATCGAATGAAATTTGGCAACGCCCGAAGATTCATACGACGTTTCTCCTCAGCGTGGCAGAGCGCACTGAAAAAAAATTCTCGACGTTTTAACCAAGGTCCGTTGGTATCTTTACCATCTCACTTTTTTTCTACCAATTATTGGTAATTTTACCAAGACAGACTGGTAAGCTTACCTAAAGACCGGTATTTTTACTGTTTTTTTTTCAGGTAAGAATACCACTTTTATCGGTAATCAATTCCCGGTAACTTTGCCATTTTATCTCGGTAATTTACCACAGTCGATAAAAAATATTGGCGTTTTTACCGGGGCCCAGTAAAATTACCGAGAAAGTCAATAATTTTACCGAGATTTCTCGGTAAAATTACCAATTCCATAAATGGTAATTTTACCAAGAAAAAACTGGGATCAAATAGAACCCTGAATTCTTGGTAATTTTACCCTTTTCCTCGTAAATACACCGAGATTTTTTTTCAGTGCGGCTCTCCCGAATGAAGGAGCCGCACATCCGGGTCACGGGTGCAGAATCGATATTCAGAACTTGGTCGGATGCAACGGCGCAATTGAAGAACACCGCCGCGAGACAGAGAAGACAGAGGGGACTCGGCGAGAAATCAATCTGAAAGTGTGTGACCACTTGACCTTCGAGGGCGAGGCGAGTCCGAGCCGTCGAGCCGACCCGACACTCCCGAGTCCAACCCCGATCCGAGCCGCTCAAGTGCTTCTCGCGGGCCGTGGGGGTGGCAGGGGGGAAGGAGGAGGGGGGGCAGGGGGTCGGTTCCGGTGGCCGGTCGGCTTTCGAGAGCCCGGAAATTGATAGACTGGTTAATTACTCGCGTACAAGTCTTCGAAACTCGAGTGCCAAATTTCACCGGGATCGTTCTCCGAAAGGATCTTGCGGGTTGAGCGTTGAAATTGATAGACAAAACGATAGACAAAGAAGAATCGGTGGGCTGATTGTTGGAATTGATAGATAAAGCTATAGACAAAGGAGACAAAAGGAAAATCGAGGGATCCTGTTGGTGCAAACGGGTAGTTGCAATGAACAAAGGGAGTAGGTAATAGACTAACTTACGGCAACTTATCAAAGACCCCATAGTTAGTCCGTCGTTATCTTTCTTAATCCAAAAGGAACTAATCATGTCACCCAATAGGATCGCTCCATATTCCCTAAGTCTTCTTTGTCTGTCGCTTTTGTTTACCAATTTCAAAAATCAGCCCGCTGGAGAATGGAGCGACCCTGTTGGTTGATGTGGTTGGTTCTCATAGACTAACGGAGTAAATGATGGAATAACTGTACACTGAAAGGAAATATGGTAGATTTTACCATATTCTGGCACAGTGATACGAATATGGGAATTAACACCGTACTCTATGGTAGCATGTACCATATTATGGTAAGTATTAGCAGAGTTCTGATGAATACTACAATAATTCTGGTTAATTTCACTAAATGTTATCACTGTGTAAAAAATCAAGTTCACTTAGAGTAGATGTTAACATACTTTTTTTAGAGTCTCTCGTGGGTTGCCGTTGGTTAGTCTATTCTAACACACCATTTTTACTCCGAACATAGCGCAATTAATCACGTAATTCACTCACCCAGTACTTTCAATATATTAAATAAAAAACACAAAGTTTAGTGACCCATTGAAGTGTCAGTTTCAACTTCCTTGTCACAATGTGCTACTTGGACCGCGTCGAGCAGAAAGGAACGAAGCCACATCAGCTATTTCCAAATGTAACTGGGCAATTTAATTTCTCACACGGAATTTCAGTAAATTTTTTTGCGAAGTATGGAGCAAATTCCTTAGTATTTTCAAAGAAATCCGCACAACCGTTCTCTTGTAAAAAAATACATTACCTAGAATTTAAAGGCAATTGCTGGTGTGGCTTGGTTCTTTTCTGCTGAACGCGGTCTACTTGGGATCATGCAGTAATCAACATGATTCTGTGCTACTGACCCATTTTTTAGCACCAACTTACCCCCACAACGCGCGGGGATGTATGTGAGAGGAATGCTTACAATAGTGTTGAAACGACAGATTTACACGCTTATTCGATTGTTTGAAGAGGTGGAAGTTTCCAATTTGATTCTATCCGCTTACCGCCAGACGTGGGCTTTTGTACACGTACTTCCTTCGTGGAGAGGTTTCCTCGGATCACGAACTGCTGCGCCAGTAAAAATTAACGTTCCTCCTCTTCTATTGTTGCAGGTGAGCAGGTGCACTACCACTTCACCGGCTACGGCACACTTGAGGTATGACGTTCCCTCTCCAGACAATGTAACTTACAGGCAAAGAGGCGCTGGAACGGTGATCACTCATTGGCTCGTTCTCCAGTGCAGTGGCTCAAAATGCTAGGTACAATTTTGCCAATTTTATAGGGTATACTGTGGGAGGGTTTATGAGATTGACTGCCGGGAGAATGGGTGTGTTGCCAACTTTTTTCAGAGCGCAAGGAAGAGCTTTTTTTCTATTGATCGAAAAGTCACAGTGATCCCAACGGGACACGGAAAAAAAGTCGCTTGGATCTAGAGTCCAGACTCCTAATGACATTGACAAGAAAAAACTATTGCATCTGACTCTAGACTATTGTATCTGATCGGTTTTCAAGGTAAAATTAAGGAGACCTTTTACACGTAATGGCAACCTAGAGTCCCTTTATACTGAGAGTAAAGACAATGCGAATCCATTTCTGATTGGTACCCGTATTTTAGGCCCTCACAGTGTCACAAACGGGAATAAAGATTACATTTTCACCAATTGCAAAGATTATAAACTGGAATGGACCGGGGAATGGGAGGTACAGCAAGGAACAAATGGAATGAAAGAGGGAACGGAGATAGGAATTCGGGAGTGGGTTGATCAAATATTACAAAAAACTCCGATTTGTGTAATCTCTATTCTCGTTTGTGACATCCATAAGCTGCGTTGTCTCAACTCTCTCTACAAAGGGACTCTAGTGAAAATGTAATCTTTATGTATATATTGACACTGATAGAAAAACAACTTCATCAGACCGAAACACTAATAAAGAAACAACTTAAAACGGGACTAAGGCCGCAAATAATAAAAGAAACATATAAAATAAAATAAGAAACCCGGGACGTTTCGCAGGGATCACACCCTCATTTTCAACCGGCAAAACAAGAAAAGTAAAAGAAAGACACTATGAGCCTCACCGTTGTTATTGTGAGACTGATAGTACAACCACTATCACCACAGGTTGCACTATCAGTCTCACAATAACAACGGTGAGGCTCATAGTGTCTTTCTTTTACTTTTCTTGTTTTGCCGGTTGAAAATGAGGGTGTGATCCCTGCGAAACGTCTCGGGTTTCTTATTTTATTTCATATGTTTCTTTTTATTATTTGCGGCCTTAGTCCCGTTTTGAGCTGTTTCTTTATATTGACACTGTGACGGCCTAAAATACGGGAACCAATCAGAAATGGATTCCCACTGTCTTTACACTCAGTATAAAGGGACTCTAAACTATTGTATCCGATCGGTTTTCAATATAAAATTAGGGGGACCTTTCACACGTGATGGCAACCCGGCGCGAATAGGGCTCAGAAGGGTGGAAAGAGGTTGGCGGGTGGCGGGATGAAGATGAGCTCTTGATACGTCTCCACTCGTAACCGGGTGCC